AACTCCTCCCAGGTTCCATGCCTTGACTTGGACTCTCCACAGAGATATTTCAAACCTGCTGCTTGCCAGGAGACGTGTTAGCCTCCACGGCATTTGTATGTCTTTGTATATATATGTATGAGATATATGTGTGTGTGTATCATACATGGTACAATCTATACACATAAATGCACTGTCTCGGGGGGAGCATCCTGTGATTGTTGCTCATTAGGTTTTATATGACAATGTCCATGCAGACTCTGTCTGTTCTGTTTTCTCAGCCTGATCCAAAGCAGCAGACCATCTATGACCTTTTCCAGAGGACCTTCTTGGAGAGCAGAGATGATGCTGATGATGCTTTGCTTCTGGAGGCAGCTGATGCTGGCTGTGAGTTTGACTCTGACAGTGTCTTGAAAGATAGAGAAGCAGAAACATGTTCAGCGAGTCCCCCAAAAAAGCGGCGTATTGAGGAGTTTTTTAAAGTGTAATGGTGACAGCAAAAGAGACAGCAGCTGAGAGATCTTTTTTAATTAAAAAAGAAAAAAACCCAAAACCAATCAAGTTTTATTTTTCAGTTTTCAAAAATAAAAGACTTCAAGTTTTCTGTATCTCTAGCATATTTCGTCTCAAACGATGAGGAGGCAGTCTGACAGTGTGACAGATGTGCAGTGCACACCTGTCAGCCTGCAGGGTTTGCAGTCTGGGTTTGCTGATGACTGCATGGCCATGTGCAAGTAGCATGCTGCTGTGTTTCAGCATGTTGGCTTCCACAGCTGTTTGGTTTAAAAAGCAGGTAATGGCTGTCTGTCCACAAGGCAGAACTGTTGCAAAAACCAACTCCTCAGCAGCTGCAGAGTGCTTTTAACAATCAGTCTTCCATCTCCAAGAGTTCTAGCCTGTGTTTGTAGGAGTTGGTTCACTGGCAAACTTAGCTTCTACTTGGGTCACTCACAAACTAGCTTTCTGATACTCTGTTTGGCCATGAGGGAAAAAGATTCAGACAGATCTTGATGTTTTGTGGAGGTGGGGAAGACAAGGGAAAAGAGCAGTCAGTACCTTGAAACTAAGCAGTGTAACTGTGTGCCAGGCAGTGTGCATTGCCTGATAGGCAGACCTGCCTGAGCGCTCTCATCTCTGACCTCATCTGCTGAATCTTAAGAGGTGCTCCATGGCATGTGCTTCTTGTGTCAGGAGAGAGTAAAGCTTGTGCTAACTGCCAGGGATTAAGCCTGGCTTCTCAGGGAGGGGTTGTGTGATTTCTTCAAGACTCAAGACTAATTTCTACAGGTGAGTGAGGAGAGGGGGAAATGCAGAGTTTTGCTCTTGTTTCCTAAGAACTGATTCTGGACTGAGCTGTTTAAATAAAAAGTTTTTTTAAATTGTGGTTCCCAAGCTTTTGATACTTTTTCTGTTTTAGCATTTCATCTCCCATTTGGACCTTAAGCTTGAGAAGTATGTGATGCAGTGGAAATATTAACATTTTTTTAAAAGTTCTTACAGTGTCTGAAAGATATGTCCTTTTTGTGCTCTCTAAAACACATCAACTTTCAAATGGGAAACTCCCATGATACTTTGCTTATAGGTGAATCTCCACAGAGGTGATGCCTCTGCAAAAACTCTAGAGGCCACTTTTGACGTGGGCTTGATGTAAAGGCAAGTGGCTTTGTTTATCACAACTGGTCTTCTCAGGCATCTGCATGGTTGTCTTTATTTTTTTGGGTGTGTATTATTGGCACTGTGGTGTAGCGTGATCCCCAGATTATGTCTTTCATGCTTCTGGTTTTAGTCCTAGAAGATACTTGGAAATGGGCTAGTGTTAAGCTAGTGTGATCAGGGAGTTACAGGAGAAGATATAATTTCACAAATGTATCAGTTATCTATGTTTTATAGCCATAATCTGTAGAGAGGTATGGGGGAAAAGCAAACTAAAGGCTTACATTTAGCTCCTGGAGGCCAGGAGCTAATATGCTGTGCAGGTGGCATGCTTGGCTCTGTGCAGATACCAGACACTGATAAAAAGATCTCTCTTCCACAGCAGAGGAGAAAAGTGTTTGTGCTGCAAGATCAACCTGGTAATAATAGATATTTTTTCCTACATTGAAGGGTTTGATTATTCCATTTTCAGCAGTTGTCGTCATGGAAATGCCCCACAGGCTGCGTATGCAGTTGTGCTGGGTGGAGAATTGCTTTCCATTCATGATGCAGAACGTGCTTTGGGGTGTGAGCAGCAGTGAGGGTTGTGTGATTGGGCTACTGGAGGAAATGCTTTATCTCTGGGTTTGAGACAGAGCTAAACATCATTGCTCTTGCTTCAACAGCTGGCCAGGAGATAAAGACACACTTTCTGACATATTCAAATGCCTGTCATCTTGAACACAGAGTATTCAATCTGTCTGTAGGACAAGTGATCTTTCTACTTGCAAAGTGGGCTGTTGTGAGTAAGGGGTGAGAAATGTTGCTGTCTGCTGACTGAAAAAAAAATATGGAAGACATTATTTGTATACCCATATTGTTTTCTCCTATAGGAGTAGTTCTTTTCCTCTTTGTGAAGCTACAGCTATTTCAAAACAGTATTTTTCTGAAATATGCTGAAAGTAGCCTTGGAGAATTCTGCTTTTCATGAACTCTATTTATATTGTCCATATGTTGATAAATCCTAGCCTGTTAGACGAATGCTAGGTGTACGCTTCCTTTATTAGGACCCATAAAATCTCAGCTGGTTTGCTGCAGAGATACAGAAGTTTTTTTGAAGTACACTTGAGATTCACTTTATCCTTACTAGATGAAAAAGGGAAGAAGAATCTTGCAGGAAAGTGCTTTTAGTGATTACTTCAAGGAATTGGAGAGACTGTGCAAGCCTTATCCCAGCTGCACCATTAGCCCATCGTTAATATAGTGAGGAGGTGGCTGGGCAGCTGCCAGCAGGCTCAGACAGGATCTCCAAGGCTTGCTGAAGAGACCTTGTACAAGGTAATGTGCAGGCTGACAGTCCCACAGGGAGGCTTGGGAACATGCAGCACTCTTGGGGACTCTTCCACCTGCCCAATGAAGATGACACAGCTTTTTGGCATTATCTAAAGCACAGCAGAGGAAAGGGAAGGACCCATCTTACTGGACCTTGGAGCATCTTGCTGTGGTTGGACACCTGCTTGTACATCTGCATCAGTGCTCCCACCCATGCTGGAGAAAGGTGTGTTTCCAAGAAGGATGCCAAACCAGGAACAACAGGTAAAAATACCTGAACAATAAGCTGGAGCAGTTCAAGCTAAGTCTTCTACATGGCCCAGGCTGGCCATCTTCATGTGCTGAAGAGTTCAAGGCAGTGGACTATCAAGGTAAGGCCGAGCTGGCCTGTCTGCATCCATTATCTTCTCAGTCACTTGGAAACTGTGTTTACTCTGGCAGTGCTGGGAATGGCTGTCATCCAAGGGGGCTGGGTTTAGTTGTTGCCAGAGCTGTCTGTAACATTGGTAGATGAAGGGTATGACCACGCACTGTACTCTCACAGCAAACTTTAACTCTGTAGATAGAGACCGGAGAATAGCAGTAGATTCTCTGTCCTGGATGTGTTGCCTGACACAAATATTATATTTCTTGAACTGTATCATCCCTAAGCAACCAAAGGAACTTTTTATTTTCTTTTTTTTTCTTTTTTTTTAATCTTCTAATACGCTGGTATCAAAGCTGTATCCTGTGAGTCATCATTATGATGAGGATCTGAAAAGGGCAAATATATTCCTAGGATATATCAAATGAGATTTTGACTCAACACAGGGAGATATAAATACCATTGCCTAAAGCCCTGCTGAGCCCTCCTCTGGAACATGGCTCTGGCCTACCAGCTTCCAGCAGAAGAGCTTGCAGGGGTGATGATGCCTGCATGATGGAGTTAAAACTATTAGTGTTCAAATCCTCAAAGCAAGAGCCAAGAGGGGATGCAGCATCTGCCTGTGAGCATCTCTGAAAGTACAGTCCCCAGCCTGGGAAAGACTAACACAGTGGCAGGGTACACTCGATTCATTAATTCCTTACTAACTAAATAGACTGCAAGTGGAGAGGTCTGTCATGGGTCAGAGCAGCTGGGGTGGGTATGGAGCTGTCAGGAAGGGAGGAAAAGCATCTGCAAGAAGCACCTGGAGATGGTTTCTTGAGGTGGACTGGGAAGCTCTGGCTCTTTCCTGGCAAGAGGGGATGAGCTGTAGCTGGCTCTTACATTAAAAAGCTCTTGGGCTAACTAATTACATTTCTTAATGGAGGTTAATGGGTTGCTAATCCCCACATGAGCATTGCAGCTCACTGGCATTGGTATGTTTTGCTGACCTCACGTTTTGGTGCTGGTGGTGGAGACACCTCTGGTGCCCCAAACACCTGGGGGTACTGTCTGGGTGCTGAGAGTCACCTCTGCAGCAACACACAAAGGTTTTCAGGGCTGGTTTTCTCAACAGTAAATAACCCTGAGGAAATTAGGAAGTTACCTTGGTTCCATCAGGTCAGGTTATCTTGAAACCTTTTTTAGGGTTAGGGCTGGTATGTTCCAAGATGAGAATATGCCCTCACTGATTAATCATCATTATCATCTTTCTACAGTTCCAGTCAGGTTTTCTGTTCCTGTTTTAATTCTGACGTCTACCTACTACTTTCTCTTTTAAAACGAGGTCAGTGAAGGTAAGTGCCCCATCTAGTGTGCTGGTGGGACCTCCCTGGGTGGAAGCCCAGGGCTCTGAGCCCCCGCGCTCCCTCTCCCTCGGGCGGTGCTGAGGCTCATGTCCCGCTTGGCTCTCACACTGGGCTCCAAAGTATCACAGAACGGACCACAAGAGCATCGTCTGGTCCAACCTCGTTGGTCAAGCAGGGCCGTCCCAGAGCACGGGGCACGGGACTGCATCCAGACAGTTCTTGTGCAGGGCCCGTAAGTCAGACAGATCCCACGACCCCTCCCGGCACTCTGCTCCGGGTATCGCTCCCCCATCGTGTCCAGGGCCGCTCTCCCGTGCCGGGGGTGTCTCCCCGCGGGACCCGCCCAGGCCCGGCCCCTCGGCGTCACTTCCTCGGGCACGGACCTGCGCACGGGGCTCTCTCTCCGCGTCAGGGCCGGTGCAAGATGGTGAGTGTGGCTGGGCGCGTCCGCCGCCATCCCCCGCCATCCGCCCGGGGCGGCCGCGCTGAGCCCGCGGGGCTGGGCCCGCCTGTGTGCTGTGTCCCCCAGCGGGCCCCGGCGGTGGCGGGGAGGCGGCCCGGGAGCGGGGAAGGGCGGCCGGGGGGACGGCGGGGACAGGCCGGTCCCGGGCGCGCAGCAGCTGCACTGTGAAGGGGCGGCGGGGGCGGCTTGGCCGGCACAGCGCTCCTGAGAGAGCCGGGCTGTGCTCGGGCATGGCGGCCGCACCGCCACCCGGAGGGCCCCGGCAGAAGCTGCGAGGGAGGCTGAGGCTGCGGCAGCCTGGCGGCATTTCGTAAGTGCTGCTCCAGTGCAGGGCAGGGACGGTGACTGGGGGACTGAAACTTATTTCCCTTACGAGGACAGGCTGAGGGGAGTTGGGCCTGTTCAGCTTCGAGAAGAGACGGCTGAGAGAGGATCTCATTAATGTGTGTGCATATCTGAAGGGGAGATGCCAAGAGGCTGGAGCCAGGCTCTAATCGGGGGTGCCGAGCAATAGACAGGAGGCAGCAGGCAGGAACTGATGCGCAGGAAGTTCCACCTGAATAGGAGGAAGAACTTCCGTGCGAGTGACTGTGTGCTGGAAAAGGTTGCCCAGTGCAGGGCGTGGAGTCTCCCTTACTGGAGACACACAAGAACGGTATGGACACAGTCCTGTGCCATGTGCTCTGGGATGACCCTGCTTGAGCAGGGAGGTTGGACCATTGTGGTCCCTTTCAACCTGACCCCATCTGTGAACACTCAGTTTTTTACAGTGGGAGTGGGAGGCTGCAGCCCCAGTTTAGGGCACTGTTGTGTCAGGAGAAGGAAGCAGCTGAGGAGATGGCAGTCCCTGTGAAGTTGAAGCTTACTGTGGTTTGCCTCCCAACAGGCCAAGCGTACCAAGAAGGTCGGGATTGTGGGTAAATATGGGACCCGTTACGGTGCATCCCTTAGGAAAATGGTGAAGAAGATTGAAATCAGCCAGCATGCCAAGTATACCTGCTCCTTCTGTGGCAAGGTGAGAGAGCTCCTTACCCGGAAAAAATGACATTGTTTCTCGTGCTAGAAAGGCAATTTTACGCTTCAGGAATTTTTGTACAGAAGGGATAACGTGACTAGTTTTGAGACAGTGGTTAATGTATGGTGAGCTTTGCATTACTGTCAGAATCCATGAAAAACATAATAGTATACATTTTACATGCATATTTAGTCGTAGTTAAACATAAATTATGTTTCATTATGCAGAAGGTTGAGCAGGGTTGCCATTACATTTAATATTTATCTATTTAATAAAATAGATTTGACAGAATTAAAGCATAACACTTGCTCTCTTGATAATTAACACATGATTTGGGCTTTTTTTGTTCTTTCAGTAGCTTTATAGCATACCTGGAGGAGGAGCTTGCTTTTTCCCACTTAAAACTCCTGATGGCAGTTGCATACTTTTGTGTGTGTAACTGGGGAGGGGGAAGAATTTCTAATAAAAAGTAATCTTACCTGCTCATGTACATAATCAAAATTCACTGTTAATTCTGGTTTTCGACAGTTTAAGATGCCCATCAGCTTGTGCTTTGCCCAGATAATTTTTTATTGTTATCTGTAGAGTAGGTATCTTTAAGTGACTGGGAATTTAAAAGTATTTTCATCAGAGTTTTTGTGGGGTTTTTTGTTGTTTTTCTGTGTTTTTTTTTTTTTTTTTTTTTTTTTTTTTTTTTTTTTTTTTGACTTGGTGTCTTTGTCACGTGAAGTGAAAATGTTGATAACCCCTTTTGCAGAGCTGCCTAAATCAGGCATAGGTCTAGGCAAACCTTTTGTCACCTTTGCAAGGTGATGGATACTTACCCAGGAGAGAGGAGTTCAAGACCCACCACTCACTCTTTAGATGCTGTTTGAAGGGTGTCTGGTTTACAACAATCGTGGGTTGTCCAGGGAGTAGTGGGAACAAACAGTGGTGTCACATTAGTCACTAAATCCAGGTCAGAGTATCAGTTACTATGACCAAGATATGTCCTTGCTATTTTTCTCCTTCAAAAAGCTGGATTTTTGATGATGTGTTTAGAGAAGACGCACTTTATATTTGAATGAAAAAGTGTTTCAGATGGACTTCCACTGTTCTGCAGAATCTGAGTAAAAAGATTCCCTGATCCTTGCCTGTCGTAACTAGGCTTATAGGAACACTGTGGTGTGATGCTGAGGTCCTCACCTGAAGTTTGTTGTTTGGCTTTTTCAGCTGATGGAGAGTGATTTTTTTTTCCCCTTTTTTCTTCCAGACCAAAATGAAGAGGAAGGCTGTGGGTATCTGGCACTGTGGATCCTGCATGAAGACAGTTGCTGGTGGTGCCTGGACTTACAAGTAAGGAAATGAAGAAGCTCCTATCAGCATTTATTCTTGTGTAGCTGAGGCATAATACAGCTTTTGATTTTATTTTTTTTTTTTAATTTTAATCTACTAACCATTAAGTAGATCTGTCTTGAGTTACTGACATGGGAGGGCTTGCCTGCTTTGTTAAAATTTGATTGCAGTGGATCAAATTGTATTTGATTGCTATTCTTTGCAATAGGCAAAACCAGATCTACTCTCCAAAAAATTATTTCCGTGTTTTCCTTTTGTTGTAAAAGCAGTGAATCATGACAGCCCTTATTGTGCAGGTGCTCTTGCTAACTCCCTTTCTTTACTCTCCTTCCCCCACAATTTTGGTAGAAGACACTGTTGCCCCACTTGTAACAGGTGTGAGGGAGTTGAGCCCACACCATGTGCACGTGGTGGGTGCATGACTGGGTAATTTGGGTTAAGATGTAGCCTGTGAAGCTGCATGTGCTTCTGTAGGCCAAGGCCTACACTTTGTTATCATGAAAACAGAAGTGGAATTAGACCCCTGTTGACAGCCCAATCAGACAATAACTATTTTAAATGAGTAGTGCTTTCTTTAGAAAAAAGATAACACTGGCACAGTTGTTCTGCTGCCGCATGCAAATGACTCTGTTTCTTCCTCCAGTACCACCTCTGCAGTGACAGTCAAATCTGCGATCAGAAGACTGAAGGAATTGAAGGACCAGTAGAAGCTAATTCCTGTTCTCCATGTGAAACATCTTTTTTTCCTGTTGTCAACATCTGTCCTTTTATCAATAAAAAGGGTGATAATGGAGTAGAATCACGTTCATCTTTTCTGCAGGAGGTTCTGTCTGTTGTGTTATGTGTTGATCCTGGCCGTATGTCAGGTACCCATCAAAGCTGCTCCATAACTTACCTCCTCAGCTGGACAGGGTAGAAAAAATACAAGGAAAGGTTTGTGGGTTGAGATAAGGGCAGGGAGAGATCTGGTTACCTAGTTACCCTTACAGACCTGACTTGGATAAATTGGTTTAATTTTATTAGCAATCATATCAGAGTATGATAACGAGAAATAAAGCCCAATGTTGGTTCCACTCACCCTTCTTTCTTCCAGGGCTCAATTTTTATTTTTCTCTCCCTCCCTCCGTCCTACCCACCAGCAGCACATGGGGGACAGGGAACGGGGGCTGCAGTCAGTTCATCACATGCTGACTATGCTGCTCCATCTTTCTCAGAGGGAGGGCTCTTCACACTTCCTCTGCTCCAGCATGGGGTCCCTTCCATAGGTTGCAGTCCTTCAGAAACAGACTGCTCCGGTGTGTGTCCCTTACATGGGGTGCAATCCTTCAGGAACAGGCTGCTCCAGTGTGGGTCTGCCATGGGGTCACAAGTGCTGCAAGCAAACCTGCTCCAGCATGGACTCCTCTTCACAGGGGCACAGGTTCTGCCAAGAGCCTGCTCCAGTGTGGGCTTCCTACAGTGCTACAGCCACCTTTGGACATACCCCTGCTCCACCATGGGGTGCTCCTCAGGCTGCAAAAAAACCCCCAGTGTTTTGCTAAATAGAAGTTCATTTGTCATGGTTATCCTCTGTTGGGTGTGCCTGCAGCCTCTCTGCATCTGGGATGTTACCTTGCACACTGTCAGCAAAGCACCCACTGCTCATTAACCTTTAAAATTCCCGTCTCTAACAAACCACTTCCTCTCTCCCCTTCTCTACTACCCTGTGTTCCTGCAGAGCTGTTGCTCTCACATACTCTCCTCTCTCCAGCTGCTGTTGCATGGGGATTTTTCCCCTTCTTAAATGTAATATCCCAGAAGCACTGCCACCATGGCCTATGGGCTTGGGCTTGGCCAATGGTGGGTCCATGCTGGAGCCAGCTGACATTGGCTCTGTTGGACAAAGGGCAAGCTTCTGGCAGCTTCTCACAGAGGCCACCACTGTAGCCACCCTCCTACCAAACCCTTGCCATGCAAACTCAGTACACTGGTGTATTGAGACATAGTAGTGCTGTCCAGTAGTTAAGTGGCTCTTTTTACTGGTGAAGCCATTAAAAACCACTTTTCCTTTCCAGTTAATTGCACACTTTGTGGCTTGAATGCTCTGAGATGAATCTGAGGAAAACTTTAATAACTTGAAGAAGCCTGGCTCATCTTTGTATGTCCTTCACATCTGTGCCTTGAGGAATAGCATAGAGCTCCATGAGTGGAGGAATGGACAGATCTAAAAGGTTAGGAGAGAACATATAAAACATCACTCTGCCTCTTCCCATTTGCCTCTGAGGGGGGCTGGGGGGACTAGGGCATGTGTTGCAAGGTGGAAAGAAAAAGAGCATCATGAGCTGCTGCTCGCCAGTGCTGCTGTTTTTCCAGCACTGACCACAGATAATTGTGTGCTATGACCTGTTGTGTGTTGTGTCGCCTGCAGATCTTGTGGTTAGTCCACATGAACACTTTGCTTTCTCTATGGGTCGTTCTCCCTTGGTCTGGTAGCAGGTTCCCACATGTGTATGTTCGAGTTGCCTAATCCATACTGAGTTGCAAAAATAAATTTTCATGTTGAGCCAATTCTTGGGATATTCAATCTTGGACAAAAAGCTGATGTTTGAGCTAATAATTGCCTCCATATCATCCATTTAGACTGTTAAGATGCTGGAACATCTTTCATGGTCTGTTTGTCTGGTGAGTTTCAATTTGATTTGAGGTTTGATTTGTCTGAGTTTTTTGGTGACTGCAGCACATCTGTCCTTAACAATACAAGTCAGAAACCATAAGTCTTGTTAATAACCCTGGTAGCTGCTGGAGGAAAAATAGTAAGGAGGTAGCAGAGGAGTCACTTGCTCTTGCTCCAACTTAAGTTTTAAATAGATTTGGGTGGTGATGAGCTACAACATTAATAATTCATTAATGAGCCGGACATCTTCAAAAGATCGATTCAAAACTGTACCTAAGTAGGAGCTTTTTCCCAAGCTGCAAAAAGTCTGTGGCTCACAAGTTTGACTGCAGTGTCTCTGAACATGTTTCCTAAACTCTTTTTTTTTTTTTTCCTTTTAATTCAGTGCTTCAAACTTCCTTTACTAAAGTAAATTCATGTATTCAGGTATCTGGTGTCATTCCTACCAATCTGCATATCCTGATGTCACCTTCCAACATGCTTTGTGCTGTAACATCTTCCCTGGGAAGCCAGCTGCAGTGTCCAACCACGCTCTGGGTGAAAAACCTTTTCCTTATATCCAGCCTAAACCTCCTCCCCGACACAACTTCAGGCCATTCCTTTGGGTCCTATCACTGGTCACCAGAGAGAAGAGATCAGTTCCTGCCCCTCCACTTCCTCTCAGGAGGGGCAGGACAATGTTGTTCTGCTGAGTGCTTTTTTTTATTCTTGATTCGGAGTGCTTGGGTCACATTTTCACGTGCTGAGATGGGATTCTGCACACCTCTGTGCGAAATTCATCAATGCAGAGGTCATAATTGAAGTACAGGTTTCTGATAAAGCTCAACTGCTCTGAAGTAGCCATTCACTGACAGGTGCAGAGGATATATTTTGCTATGTTGATATCCCAGGGCGATTGCACAGGTATCTTATCTAAGGTGACTTCTATTACTGCTGAGGAAGTTATTAATTACCCTTTCCATTTATATCCGCAGAGGATGGAAGCTGGGCAGGGTGGAAATAGGAAGAGAAGACAAGGATGTTAGATGATCTTTTTGATCTGGATTGTGTGGTTCTACCTGCATCCTGGGTGGGTAGGCTACATCCATCCATACCCTGCAGGGATGGGCTGTGGCCACAGACCTGGGCTTGTTGTGCCATGGTACTCTGGCCCGATCCTCAGCAAAAGGCGTTTTGTGTTGGGGAATCTTCAGGGCTGCCAATTCCACCGGTTTCCCCAAAGCGAGAGCAGGGAGGAAGGTGGAGAGGGCCAGGAGGAAGAAGGATGCTGTGGTCAGAGCACCGGCAATGCTGCGACCGGCCAGCGGGCGACACTGCCGTTCTGCTGCGCGGAGCTGCGAGGCTGCTGCGTCCTCTCGGCTTCCCTTCCACTCGGGAGAGGGCTCTGCTCACCTCTACGCCCACTGTAGCTTCTCAGCTCAGCGCTTCGTGCTCCCCCCGCCCCCAAAACAGGCCACGGTATTGAGTTTAGACTGAAACAGAAGTCTGTGACAAAAGATATCAGGAGGTAAAAATAGGAAGGGGGAGGTTGGAGATGAGGATTTTTGTCTGTCATTTGTCACCTTCAACAGAACTGAATTTGTGTCAGGACTCTGTCTACATGCTGTATATATCCTAGGAGAAATCTTTCTATTGACAACTACGTGATTTGGCCAGTTGATCCTCCAAATCTGTTGTTTCCCAGAATCTAAAATTCCTAGGAATTCTAAAGAATTTTGCTTACTGCTTTCCATATATTTGCTGTTCAGCCTTAATCAGGAACTTGGATAGAGTTGTCTTAGATGCTGGGACCTGTCCTGGAAGGTGTGAACTTATGGCAGTGTCTGACCCATCTGGATTGCTACAACTCTGGGAACTGGGTTTGATGAAAATGGTGACTTTAAATCTGACTGAATGTTCTGTAGATGTGGCTGTGCAGGTTTGTTGATCTTGGTTGTTTTTGAAGAGCAGGTGGGAAGGGCACCTCTTTCTCAGAGCAATTTGTCAGTCCCAAGGGATTTTTCTTTCAGGATCAAGGATGGTAGCTGTAATCAGGGTGGCATTTCAGGTGCCCAAAGGTATGTCAGGAGCTCAAAGGAACTTGGAAATAAAAAACTGAACAAGCACAGGTCAGCTCTCCTCATTCTGATTTCTGTTAAGCATTTACTTGTTTCCAAAAGAAAATAATTGCTTTGGCTTTACCCCATTTGTGCTTCCTGCTCTCTTCTGCTCACTCATAGCCTGTTTGGTTGGATCATTGGGGGCACCATTGATGTTTGTATTATGCCACATATTAAAAACTGTTGGGGCCTAGGGCTCACAGGGATGAGGAACCTCAGCCACAGGTGTCGGTTGCCCCTTCTGCGGGTCCTGACTCGAAGGTGGTGTGAACTCAGCCCATGTGCAGGTGCTCAAATCCCTTCTTAGGGACTTGACTGTAATACAGCCTAACAGTTACAAGCAATGGGCATTATGTTTTAAGGAGCATATCCCAGTGTGATTTTTAACTTCCATGAACAGCAAATGTCTTGCCATTACTGTGTGGTCATCTGCCTTCATCCCTGAACACATCCAAGGGCTGCCCATTGCCTTTCTGAGCTCCTTCATGTCTCTTCCCATGCCTCTTCCTCCATGCTGCATCCCAGGGAGATTTCCAATGGCACTTCAGAAACAAGAGTGACTGAGGCAGAGGAGTCACCTTTCTGGTGTGTCGATATACCCTGTCTAGGGACTATTTGCTAGGTGTCTCCCTAGAAAGAAAGGAGATTTAGTGATGAAGTTTATCTCTGGCTTTGCATGCAGCTCAGAACATTGGACAAGAGAAGCAGTTGGAGTCAGGAACTGATGTGACCACCACTTTAATGGGCTGCAAGTCACCATCTGCTTTTATGTATTGTCCAAGTACTTCCATCTCCTGTTCATCTCACCTGTATTTTCAGCAGCTCCACTTGGGGAAACACTGCATTACAGAGCTGGTCCAGCTCCTGTGAAAGAAGTGGGCAGACAACATTTCTCTGCTACCCAGCTGAGCAGCAGGGCTCAATAGCTTTTCTTGGAGAAATGATTCCTTAAAGGATGCTACAGAATGATTTGTAGTGGCATGAGACTGTGTATTTCCAGCAGATCAAGGTGACAGGGAACTGGCCCCAGTGCTCTGGAAGTGGGCA